GGGAAATTTAAACAATCAAGATTTTGACAGATAGATTTATCGGAGAACAATTTATCGTTGCACTTATAAATAAAAACCTTGTATTTAACTAAGACTATAATTAAAATTCAGCATACCTTTAATCTATATTTATGAGTGGAATCAAAATTAAAGTTCTGTATATGACTCTGAGAGCGATTTTCGAAATGTCAAACCCATGACGTGACATTATGTAAAAATTGATTGTGTAAATGATACTCTTCAGGAGTAAAATGACTTGTATTGTGTTAAAAAGACTTTCTGTGCATCCTAATGTACATTCCAAATAGTGTAAAAACAGTACTAGATGTCAAGGAACGATGTACCTGAAATAATTTCATTATTAGTCGATTTGTATATCATAAAACTGTGTAAAATAGTGAAATTAACGTAGGATAAGTGTTGAGAAACAAGACTAGTGGCATAGAATTAAGCCTAATAACGTAATTTGCACAAACTTCGATAAAATAGCTAAAATCTATAATAACCTCAAATCTGAACGTAATGAAAAGATGTAGGTATGTAAATTTTCAGAAAAATGTGTAGAAGTCAGATATGTCAGTGTCGTGTTACATAAGTCATACATAAAGGCACAATTTCAAAGTAAAAATTTTATGAAATCTCAAATTGATGTCTCCATGACAACATACCCTTTTGTTATTCCTTTATAAAAACTACTGTAAGGCTTCTAGGTGGCCAGTCTTCCATAATACGTCGAACAGTTAACATCGTTCAGTTTTCCTAAAAAAACAAAAGATAATCAAAAGTTTAACTAATTATCTAAGTAATTACCAGACCTCAAGTCAGTCACTGATATTTTGACAACTGTCAAAAATGTAAAAATTTCCATCAGTCATAATTTTCCCAACTGTACAAACGTTCACTGGAGTTTATGTAATGGGAATTAGTGTTTTAATCAAAAGTGTATGGAATAAATTGCCAACGAACAATAGTGAAGTGCTACGAGAAAATGCACCGACAATCTACCATTGGAAGTATAAGTACGTGGTATAAAATTTGTGTATATAGATCAGGGGTCGGCAAGTAATTTTAGGTGGGGTCCGGATACTTTTAAAAATTTTTAACGAGGTCCAGAAAAAAAATTCATATTTCTTGCAAATTTTCATTCGAACTCAAATTTAATCTGCTTACTAACCATTAAGAACTCAAAACACTCACATAATTGTAAAATACTAGAAAAAATAATAAGGTTGGCACTTAAATGTAAAAAAACATTTTTTAAATAATTTATTTGAGTAATTTATACTTTCAAAAAATTTTTGGCGGTCCAGTATTTTACCTTCCGAGGTCCGGACCTGGACCGAGGTCCGGACCTGGACCGCGGTCCGCCAGTTGCCGACCCTTGATCTAGATCATCCTTCAACAACAACCCAGAACGAGGTCATCCCAACTAGAAGACGGATATAGGACCAACGTTACATCCATGCGCAAATGTGAGTTACAGCAAAAATAAATTGGCCAATTTAAAAATTTTTATCAAACTCAAATATGAATCGTACGAATTCGTAATTTCACTTTACCATAACAAAAGTCGACTATAAAATTTACACATCTAAATTGAAGTGAATTAAAGTAGATTAAGATCGTAAAATTTTGTAACTGTCATAAAATTTCATATGTGTAATATATTTGTTAATTTGTGTTAAAAACAAGAATTTTCATTTTATACAAATATTAAATTAATAACAAAGTGAAGCACACCCTGAGAGAGAAAGCGAGCTAGATCTCAACATTATAAGACCAGATCTTATTGGCGCCTGGGCAAAATTTAAAAACATTCAAAATTAAAATCAAAATTACATGACATCCTTTATTTCAAAAACATAACAATATATATATATATAAAAANTTAGTTCTACTATTCCATACGTAATGATATGGAATGTCGGTGTACAGATATTGTCGGGCGTCGGGGTCATTCTGATTTAACAGAAACCATGCCGTTAGTTGGGTAATTTCATTATTTTCTAATGCTTGTATTTCGAATCCAGGTTGGAAACGAACCATTTGCCTGGTAGGTAGATGAACGCAAAGCCGATAAACGGTGTGGGTATTTTTATGGGTTTCAAATTGATTGATATGCCAACAGGCCTCCGGAGGAGTCATATACCGTGCGTTCAAGTAGTTTTCTACCTCATTATAATTCGCTTGATTTTCTACGTTAATGCGAACCAATGCCAGATCTACACCTTTAAATAAGTATTTATAAAGGTATTTAACGCATTGGGTAGTAGCGCAAGCTTCTATATTAATATAGCATTTATACTTTAATAGGATATAGGGATTGTAAGGAACTATCCAACGATTGTCTAAAATACAGTTTATGTTATTAGATCGAACTGTCAAAGTTCTGCCGTTGTTTGGTCTTTTATAAGAGACTTGCCCTTTTTCTGATATTGCTGTAAGTTCACTGAATTCTTTAGGATACTTTTTAGAACATTGGACATTCACCATACAAACGGAGTCTGGGTTTAATTCTCCACAAGGGCCGTGTACCATGAAAGAGGTTACTATTTCATATAGTTCTGGTTCTAATTGCGGATGGTATTTCTGCACTAATGAATGCATCAATTCTGCGAGGGTCTGTTAATTTATCTTCGTCTCTTAAGCCGGCCACTCACGTTCCGGTATACCTGTTCAGGTAAACATGACAAGTTAACCTGAACTTGACTTTGTCCATATACGTAGCGGCGTACCTGAAAGCAATTCTCAGTTGGGCTTTCAATCATGTCCGTACAACGCGACTACGACGATACTGTAGCGTTAGTAGGTCTTCTTCTCCTCCTAGGGAAAAAACAAAGAAAATCGCGACAAAAGTGGTGTAAAGAATGGTTATTACAAAGACATGAATACAGTCACGTTAAGTTTCTAGAAGAATTAAACGCAGAGCCTAAAGATTATCGCAATTATTTAAGAATGGATGAAACAACTTACCTAAAGCTATTATCAATAGTTACACCTTTAATTCCGAAGCAGGATACTGTCATGAGAAAAGCTATATCGTCACATGAACGTCTGACAGCAACATTACGATTTCTTGCAACAGGCACGACATACGAATGCCTCAAATTCTCTACTAGAATATCACCGCAAGCTCTAGGCAAAATCATTCCAGAGACATGTGATGCCATTTATAAAACTTTACGAAAGGATTATCTGAAGGTGTGTATAATAAGACGAACATTGTTCGGGTAAGTTATTTATTAAGAAATCCTACAATTGTAGGTACTCGTAAATAAAAACATATTTTCAAAATATTTACTTTATATGTTAGTATAAGTGGCAAAATAAGGTGGCTGATCGGGTGCAGGACGCTTGAAATGGTCTCTCACCGAAAGTAACACGTCAGTGGTTAACGCCTCTTGTCCACTTTTCTTTTTAGCAGGTCTTGTTGCTTGTGTGTGTTGTTTGAGAACGTTCTTGCATCCTAGATGTAGAACCATCTGTAGCATTTTCTTCAGAATCGCCTACATTATATTCTGCACCATTATCCTGAAACAATAAATTAATATTAGGTTCTGATTATATTACCATACAAATTTAACCCTTTTCATATACTATCCGTTTTACTTTACTTTGACTCACCTGTACATTTTTTTTCAGTTTCCTGACTCCTTTGACGAATGGAAAGAAATAGCGCGTCTCTTTGAAAAGCAATGGAATTTTCCGCATTGCTTAGGGGCCATTGATGGCAAACACGTTGACATAGTTACACCTGCTGGCTGTGGATCGTATTATTTCAGTTATAAAAATCGCCACAGCATAGTCCTCTTGGCAGTAGTGGATGCCAGATACCCATTCATATTAGCTGATGTAGGTACAAATGGACAAATTTCCGATGGGGGTGTATTACAGAATACTAAGTTTTTCGAAAAAATGCAATGTAAAACATTAAAAATCCCAAGACCAGAAGATGTTGCCAATAGCTCTAAATGTCTCCCATGTGCCTTTGCTTCCGATGATGCATTTCCATTAGGACCCAATATGCTAAAGCCATTTCGACAAACGGATTTGGATACACGATTAAAAAATTTTTAATTATCGTTTGTCTCGTGCGAGACATATTGTGGAGAACGCTTTCGATATAATGGCTTCACGATTTCGAATATATCATACCAGAATTAATTTAGACGTACAAAACATCGATAAAGTAGTAATGGCCACGTGCGTCCTGCATAATTTTTTAATAACGCATCAAATTCCTATGCACAGAAAATTGTGTTTATAAAGAAAATACTGAAAACGGGACTGTCATTTCTACAGGCTATAACACTGCAAGTTCTAACATGGAACATTTACATGGGCGAAGTCAAGGAAACATCACCCACGACGGGAAACGGGTAAGGGAAGAATTTCAAAATTATTTTGTAAACGAGGGCAAAGTGCCATGGCAAGATAATTATATTTATAACTAATTTGATATGACCATTATTATTCTACAAATTGAATGTGACTAATATTAATATAGAAATAAATAAACGTTTATACTCAAAATTTGACAGTTACTTACCTTAGAAGTATTCTTATTGTCTGCTTCGACTTCGTCGTCGACGTCATCTAAATTTGAGCATGACTGCCGTAGAATGTCCTCATCGCCAAGAAAATCGAACATATCGTAGTACCACAACGTGGGTTTGTACACATCGTCTGCAGACGCTCCCGACTTTAACGATTCTTTATATTTCTTTTTCTCTTTCCTTACGTTACAACGCAAACTATTATTTTTTTTTTAATACATCCTCTTTCGTAGCATTCGGTTCGATCTCTCTAAGTTTTTCCTTGAGCATTTTCATATGCGACTGCTCTCTTATTTCTGTTATGATAATCTTTGCTTTTTACGAGCCAAAGGCAAGGTTCGGCTTTATATAGTTCTATGAATTCTTCCACTACTACGGTACGCTTGCGAGAAGCCATTATTTCGACAACGAATGTGGACAGTGGACAGGGAATAACTGAGACCTACACATGTACAACGCCACACACGCGCAGGCTTGCCTAAAGTGCTCTTTACCACAGGTAAAATATATAAAATTTCGATTGTTTGCAGGTCGCCTGTTCAGGCCAGAATACCTGTCAGTTTTGTCACATACACGCTCGCGCTTACCTGTACAGGTGACCTGAACAGGTATACCTGTCAGGTACACCGGAACGTGAGTGGCCTGCTTTAGAATAAGTAGATTATGACAATGTGTGGCGTCGCTAATTTTACGTAATAAAATATATATAAAAAAAATAATTATTAACACACCCAGAGTTAATAAAGCCCTCAGCTGACACTAGTTGGCCCGCTTGCTGCAGTGGAGACGGGGCAGGTTCAATTATAATTACTTATGTAAGAAATGGGCGCCACATGGTTACAACCAGGTCAGCTACTCGTGTGGGTTAATCCTCAAATAACCATGAATTCAAGCACAACTATATAAGCTCTCAGATTTAAAATTAACTCTAGGAATGGTAGCCGTTCTCTGTTCGAAATAAAAGAAATACACACTGTAAGAAGTATAACTGATCTATTAACTACTGAATCCAAAAGAGTAATCATCTAAACTTTAGGTAAGTAAAAACCATAATCTTATATATTTAGGTAAATCAGGTAACCAAGAAAAAAAA